TGTGCTGGTGAACAGTCACTGTAATTATTATATCCCTGGTGGAAGGGGTTACTCAGGTTCAAGGGATACTATCTCTGTGGATCCCAGTTTGGGGGTTTCTGACGAGAGGGACTCCCAGTTGACAGAACAGGGCTTAGTGTTGAGATATAATCTTAGTCTAACCCCTCTGCAGCTCACACCCTGAACTAGGTGTCTGCTTATCCTCCTATGTTCCAGGGTCCTGGTTACTTCCTGAAGTTGGCAATAAAAATATTTTATTTTCTATGGATTCAGAAACACAAGTAATATTTGTAAATGTATCAAATTTATCAGTACTGTTGCTTATGATTTAGCTTTCACCAATTGAATTTTTCCATCTTAGATTGTCAGATATTTGTAGATATTAATAGGGAGAACCATGTTATTCTTTAAAGTCTTTAGGGTCACTTCCTTGACAGAAATAGTAATTTGTATGTTACACAATAGGCTAGAAATATCTAATTAAAACTGAGCTGAAATGTTTAGCTCTGCTTCAACCAAAAAATGGTTGTGACAAGGAGAAACAGAGAAAAACAACAACAAATTTTCTTGCAGTGGCAGAAAATCTAAAACTTTCTGTATCAAGGACACTTGCTGCACCAAGCAGTGGCAGTCATTTTTCTAAAACAAAAAAACAAACAAACAAACAAACAGACAAACAAACAAACAAACAAACACTGCATTGTTGAAAACTGACAGAAGAAAGAGGCTCACTCCATCCTGAACTCTCTCCTCCCGAAAGTGCCCCTGAAATTATGATATTTTCTGATGTAGCAAAATTCAAATGGAGGTATTGCAAAGGGGTGGCCCATCAGCTTCCAATTACAGCTACATCACCACTTGAAAAAAAAACTCTCAAGGAACTCCGCTGCTCCTGTCACCACCACTTATCTGACCACTTGAGCTGATTGTTACTTAGAAGTTTACTTGTCTCTAAGAACTGAGCAAAAACACTGTCCAGCTCCTGCAGCTTGCAGAACAGCATATTCACCTTAATACTATGACACTGTCCTTATGATTTAGTCTGGTGAATAAATAAAGCATTGCTTGAATGTTTTTCCTTCTTTGAGAATAGAGCTGCGTGTCTAATATTGGCTGGAACACAGCAGTAATAAGACAAATTTCATTCCCTTCTAATATGTTTAGATCTTGAATGCTTGAGGATAAACACAGGAAGTATACTATTTTTATACTTTTGATTTGTATTATCTTTCTAATTACACCCTGGACTATAACAATTAGGTGTATTTGGTAATATTTGAAGGAATTAATCCAGGTTTTACAGATAAGTGAATCAGCCTGTACAGTCTTCCATTTATGGATTAATTCCACACTCCTTTTTTAAAACTATTGACTCAGTGAAATGTGCTTGTGAGTAATTCCTTCCTATCAGACTCATTAAATGAAATTATTACTTTCAATAAGCTAAATTGCTTTTTTTCTCCATGCATCTTCCCACTAGTAATATTAGAATGTTGTTGTTCTTTAGTATTCATGTCATACAAAGTTTCTTTCTTAAATAATTGAGTTCAAACTAATACCGTTGAAGCCGTTCATATCTACTCAATGGCTTTTTAAGCTGAGTTTCTATGGCAGTTATATGAAGTGTATACAAAATTACACTTTTTGCCAAAGGGCAAACATAATTATTTATGTTATGTTTTAGTCTGCTGCTAAAAAGTTAACGGGTGTATGTGTCTGTTGAGGGTTGTGAAGATAAGCTCCAGAAAGAAACAGTAATCTGCTTGTTAAAGTAAAAATTTAAACAAAAAGCAAAGAAGGGGCTATTGGATTCTAAGAGATTGTGTATTCAGCATCCTGATAATGCCTAGCTCTGTATCTTATAGACTTAAGAGCCCACCTTCGGACTTGGAATATGTTTGTGGTTGGAGTTACAAATGCAGGGGCGTTGGCTGAAAACTGAACCCAGATAAATTTCAAATAAGAATGACTGAAATCCTTGGATATTATTCCAGTTGCTCTGGTCACTCCCATTTCCATTGCTGTGCCTGAACTTTTGCATGGCAGTGGGCACAGTCTTTTCAAATTACTGTGAGAAGTCTGGCCATTTCTTTCCAAGTTTGAACTATTTGTTTCTGAATTTGAACATCATTCCCTTCTTTGTATTGTTTTACATTATTAATAGTATGGTTGAAAAGGACCTTGCTTCCTAAACTGCTCAAAATTCTTCATTGTGAATGTTAATATCAAATATTATTTGATGCAGTTTCAATGCTTGACTATTCCCTGAGTATTTGATATCAGTAGTTGATGACAGTTAATGATACTTGATTTGATTATTTCATATATTGAGCCTCACAATCACTCATTGGCAATTGGAAGTGTATCCTCATGTAAGTAATCATGTTTACCTTCTTTTATAAAGTGAGTTTGGATTATCTGAGTAGCAGATTATCATGCAATTTTCACTGCATTAACTAGATAATTGTCTAGTTAAATTGAGGTAAATAAGTTGAGGTAAATTACAGAGCCATTGAATATGCTTTTCACAGCACTGCACACATCTCTTTTGATGCAGTGCAGAAATTCTTGGGCAGCAGTCTGTAGCTCTGTTGACGGATTGCTCATATGTAGGGTGTTAATGTGATTACTTTGAAGTGAGGGTTTGATTTCAGCTCTGCTAATAGTTAAATGCCTGCATGAGAGATGAGGGGACTATTAAGCATGATCAGAAAACCCTGTTGTCCATATGTCCTGATAATATGAATTCTTGACAACTACAGTCTCTTTCAACAACTGTAGATTAGGTGGCAGGCAACTGGCCAAAATGACCTGGCAGGCCTAATTAGACCCTCAAGGTGGATGTTCTCCACCCCTGTAACTAGATACTGCATTTCAACTATGTACTTTTAAAATAAAATAAAATGTTACCTTACTGCTTTTTAGTAAATAGGGATTGTTATAAACATCAAGGTAATCCTTCTGTTTAGTTGTTTTTCTCACAGATTTGTTCATGTTTGTTTATGTGTGTTTAACAGGATTATTAGTTGTGAAAAAGCAGAGCTCTGTTAGCATCAGCCTGCTTTTCAACATTTGAAAAATAAATTCTTCAATAGCAATGTTTGAATTTCCCCCCTTTATGTGGGTTGTCAGGGAGCCAGCCAGCAATAAATCACATGAAATACCGTATTTTTCGCTTCATAAGGCACACCTGACCATAGGGCGCACCTAGTTTTCAGAGGGGGAAATCAAGGAAAAAAATATGATCCCCCCTCAGCTCTGGGAGCAGCGGACTGCTGTGCACAGCCTGTGCGCTTCTCCCAGACCTTCTCCCTGCTTTTGCGGGAGGTGGGGGAATTCCCCCATCTCCCGCAAAAGCCCACAGGAGCCATGCACCCTTTAAGGAGCACACGGCTCCTGCGGGCTTTTCGACCAGGAGGGAGAAGGGACTGACACGGCCAGTCAGTCCCTTCTCCCTCCTCGTGGAAAAGCCTCAAAGACCAGGTCGGGGAGCAGCGCAAAGGCGGCGCACTGTATTCCTGCTGCCCCCTGAGCTTGTGGGGCTGGCGGTGGGGGAAAGACCAGACTCTCCTGGCTTCAGCGAAAGGAACCTGAAGCCTCCAGAACACAGTGGGAACTCACGCTGCACTCCGAAGGCTTCAGGTGGCTATCCCTGAAGCCTGGAGAGCGAGAGGGGTCGGTGTGCCTCTTGCTCTCCAGGCTTCAGCGAAAGCAACGCAAAGCCTCCGGAGTGCGGAGGGAGCACTCCCTCTGCGGTTCGGAGGCTTCGCATTGCTATTGCTGAAGCCAAGGAGCCTGCATTCGCTCCATAGGACACACACACATTTCCCCTTAATTTTTGGAGGGGAAAAAGTGCGTCCTATAGAGCGAAAAATACGGTAAGTGAAGTTAACTCTTTATTAGAACAAACAAGCCCTGCTCAGGAGTGCCAGGGAGGGGTAGCTAATACCACGGAAGACAGAATCAGGATTTAGGATGATCTTAACAGATTGGAGAACTGGGTGAAAACTAACAAAAATTTCAATTTCAGTAGGGACAAATGTAAGGTTCTACATTTAGTCAAGAAGCAGCAACTGCACAAATATAAGGTGGGAGACCACTGGATTGCCATTTGTTGTTGGCATCCATCTTGAAAGACAATAGAATGTGCTTCTGGGGATGAAGTCAAACCGCTGTGTTAGCAACACCAAAGTGACCTCCCTAGGGTGCAAGCCAAGCAAGGGTGTTTGGAGATCCCGGACTGCCCAGACAACAAGGCCCCCCTCTCAGCCTGGCTGATGTGGTCATAGGAAAGCAGAGCAATATATTTGGCAATGGCCTGACTGCAGGAGCTGCCCGAAGGAGGGGCCACCCAACTGCCTTAGAAACTCCACTTCGGATTTGTGTAGGGTTTGCTCCTTTGCATTTTCTTTTCCCACAGATATGCCACAAGGCTGAGCCAGCTCTGTCCACTTGAGTACAGAATACAACATTGCATGTCTTTAAGATGCCACAAAACTCTGTTGTTTTGAAAAGCCTCTCATGGCTGGAACAACAAAGATGTTTTCTACCATGTGCCGAAAGTATATCACAACCTCCCAGCTGTAATGGTGGTCTAATGCTGAGATGGGAAACAGTTACATCATTCAAATAACCTATGTCCTATGTGAAGCAACCAGTTTTTGTGTATCACTGTTGTTGTGAACAAACAACATGCAGAGGAAGATGCAACAGATGAACCCCCCTTACCTAAATTTCACTGGAGTATAATCTTGAAGAAATGGGAAGAGCTTAAGTAAGCTAAAGTTGTTAGGTTCTTCTAGACATTTTTTAAAAATAAAAACAGGCACAAGCCTATTTCCTCTAAGCTGTTTGAAAGGGCTTATCCACATAAATTTGTATATGAAATAATCTACTAAAAATAAAGTATGGTATTCTATTATTTTGTAGAATCACAGAATTGTAGAATTGGAAGGGACCATGAGGGTCATCTAGTCCAACCCCCTGCAAGCAGGAATTTTTACCCAACGTGGGGTTTGTACCCACAGCCCTGTGTTTAAGAGTCTCATATTCTACCAGTTGAGCTATCCTAGCCACTAATTTCTCAACACATAATTTTTTTTTTTAGTAAACTCTTTAAAATAGGCATATTTAAAGCTGTATTTGGTCTCACCTGTATCATACTTTATGCAATATGGCTAAATTATGATTCGTTTATCTCCTTTAGCTATTATCTCTTTCTTGCTGTTCTTCAGACAGATGATGGAGTGGTCTGGATTAATTAAATGAAAAACACAAGTGCATAAAATTCATTAAAGGCAAGTTAATGAAGTGGACAAATGTACTTCAGAACTTGACTAATGTGTGTCACTACTGATGGAGCTTAATATAATGTAATGATCTGATTTACCTGAGGTGCACATTTTTTTTTTTTTGTTCCCATAACAGCCAGTGGCAGTTTGCCCTTAAGATGTGTGCTGAGATGTCACCCCAGTATGTAGAGGCATGAATCCATTATTAAAAACTGCAATTTAAAAAATAATTGCATGCATTCACCAAGAAGACAAATTGAACTGAACCAGGTGTGGAAGTGGACTTGTGTTTCTGAGAGATGTGTATATTGTACCTGAGGTCCTACATCTCAGGTGCTAAAAGTTTGTTCATTTGTTTACTCCACCTTTAGTTGCTCATGTTAGCAATACATACGGTATTCATTAAATGTATTGCTGATGACAATATGAGAGCTTCAAAGAGCCACCTCAAATACATGCAGGACAATACTTTTTTTGTTGTTGTTTAGTCGTTTAGTCGTGTCCGACTCTTCGTGACCCCATGGACCAGAGCACGCCAGGCACTCCTGTTTTCCACTGCCTCCCGCAGTTTGGTTAAACTCATGCTGGTAGCTTTGAGAACACTATCCAACCATCTCGTCCTCTGTCGTCCCAACATCAGGATCTTTTCCAGGGAGTCTTCTCTTCTCATGAGGTGGCCAGAATACTGGAGCCTCAGCTTCACGATCTGTCCTTCCAGTGAGCACTCAGGGCTGATTTCCTTAAGAATGGATAGGTTTGATCTTCTTGCAGTCCATGGGACTCTCAAGAGTCTCCTCCAGCACCATAATTCAAAAGCATCAATTCTTCAGCGATCAGCCTTCTTTATGGACCAGCTCTCACTTCCATACATCACTACTGAGAAAACCATAGCTTTAACTATATGGACCTTTGTTGGCAAGGTAATGTCTCTGCTTTTTAAGATGCTGTCTAGGTTTGTCATTACTTTTCTCCCATGAAGCAGGCATCTTTTAATTTCGTGGCTGCTGACACCAATTTTGTGGCTGCTGTCACCAGACAATACTTTAGGTACTGTATATTCCTTTTGTTCCTGGCATGCCCAGTGACATCGTTTTCATTTTCCAACTGAATGGTGAGTTTCTCCCCACCCACTGTTATTGCTTCATCACAACTGCTTATGAAATGCCTCTCCATTTCAACAGATGTTTGCCATATAGGACTGAAGCCAGAAGGGGAGATGTCACTCTTGGAGAAGCACAGCTCCAAACCTTCCTTGGTCACAAAGAAAGAGTTGTATTGTTCTCTAGATCCATGTCAATATTAACAGTAGGGCAGTGCACTGGATTTGGTCTAATCCCAAATCGATTCAAACTGATTTGTGGCCTATCTGAATCTACTTGGACCAGCTACAAATCACTACAAAGCAGATTGGGTTGTCCTGAATTGATTTGTAGCTATTTGTGCCAATTTGTGGCTCAAAATAGTGTCTCAGAAAGCCAGTCAGTCTACAAACTGTTGCAATTATTAATTATGACAGCAGGACAGGTGTAGATGGGGAGATGAAGGAGGGCTAGAATGATCTCACCCCACCCAACACTCTCCTAGTCAATCCCAGTCCCATCCTTTAAAAAATGTATCTTAGAATGTTTCCCTATATTTTGGCTCTAGTTTTTAGGTAAGGTTTATTTATAGCTCTGTTGTTTCTGTGTCTGCCTTTATTAGTACTTAGCCCTGTGTGCATATGTGTATGTGTGTTGTAAGTACATTGTACACAGTTCAGTTCAATACACTATTGCTATTATAGCAGTTTGATGATTATAATGATGACGATTTTAATTTGCTAAACAGCCACCAGTCAATGAGTAATTCAGACCTTGTCACGTTCCCTTGTCATGGGGCAGCAATGGAAGTAATTTTATCCAAATCAGATGCTAGCTTCAGAAGAGTACTTTCTCAAGACTGCAGCACAGGAGGAAAGGTTACGTGCCTAATCTGATCCCATTAATTATCTGCTGTTGAGATTTACAAACTGCGCATTGGATGCAAAGACACATTCAACGCCATATATAGTTTAGCCCCCAAAGTGGGTCTTAAACACTGGTCAGAACGGATGCCAAAGTGCACAGGAACCACAATAGCTCCAGAATATTAATTTACAAAATTCTATCTATATTAAGTCATTACTTAATTGAGAATGCTTTCTAACCAGCCTTTTAATCAATTGCTTACATGATTGTATCACTTTAGACTGCAAACTGGTGTTATAACATTCTAATATTGCCCGATATGACATAGAAAAATATATAAAAGGTAAAGGTAAAGGTACCCCTGCCCGTATGGGCCAGTCGTGTCCGACTCTAGGGTTGTGTGCCCATCTCACTTAAGAGGCCGGGGGCCAGCGCTGTCCAGAGACACTTCTGGGTCACGTGGCCAGCGTGACAAAGCTGCTCTGATGAGCCAGCACCAGCGCAGCGTACGGAAACGCCGTTTACCTTCCCGCTATAAAGCGGTACCTATTTATCTACTTGCACTTAGGGGTGCTTTCGAACTGCTAGGTGGGCAGGAGCTGGGACCGAACAACGGGAGCTCACCCCGCCGCGGGGATTCAAACCGCCAACCATGCGATCGGCAAGTCCTAGGCACTGAGGTTTTACCCACAGCGCCACCCGCGTCCCAGAAAAATATACACAAAAAAGGAGTTTTGGAGAAGAGGCTAGCTTGAATCTTTTCCCATAATATACTCATTTATTTTAATTTGTGGTGTGGATGGATATTTGATTACTTTTTTTAAAAAAAAAAAGAGCCTGCCAGTTTGATACTTAAACATCACCCATTGGGACTTTAATAAATTAAATCTAAAATAAAACTACTGGATCAGTAAAATACAGTAAAGGCAGGCATAAGAAAGAGAAACAATAAAGGTTGCATTCAACTCTCAACTCTGATTTGCTCAGAATAGACCTACTGAAATTAATATACCTAATTTACTCGTATTGAATTAGGTATATTAATTTCATTTCAGTGGATGGGAATCAACTAAGTTGTTGCATGCTCAGAATGATATCCCCTCACACTAGGGAGTATCAGTGCAAACTTCTCCATGATCAGGATATTTCTCTCCCCCCCCCCCCCGACATCTTTATCCAAGGCACTGTGTTCTTAACATGTTAAAAATGTAGAAAATACCTGTGTGCATATTTTCATTAACAGGATCTTTTGTTGAAATTTAATAACCTGAAATTTAAACTATTGGTTCTGTTGTGCCTGCTTTCATAAATTCCTCTAAGATTATAACTTTCATTTTGCTTTGCTTTGTTTCTCCATTTTTTGCTGGTGCATGGAAAATAAAAACATAAGCCCTAAATCTGGTGTCCAAGATATGACACGAAGAACAATGTATAGTTTTGAACCCTGAAGGTCGGCAACTGTGATATTATTTATTAGGGAACCCGAACATGAATGATCAGCATAGCAAAAGAGTATAATCCCAGGCAAAGGTGAAAACAACTCATGAAATATTAGATACTGTACACATTGGTAAGTGACAGTTTGCCATAAGAAATAAAGTAGGTTGCCTACTTATAGCAAATGGACTGACACCAAAGCCATAAGAAAATAATATAAAACCTTGAGTTGTCTGTATTGCATATAATACAAAACACCATGTGTCTTGAATACAAAACAGGTTTGCATTGGACTGTACACAAAGTGCCAATATCACCACTATACAGATTTTTTTTGCGGCTGTGACCTTGAAAATGCTTAAGTTATTCTATCAGAGAACAGAAGCAACAGACAGGGATTATGTCAACAGCATTAATGCAACACTAAAGACATCATCATTTATTGAACCTACATTCTTTCAAATACTTAGCATCCTGCGGTGATTATTTTAAAAATAGAATGTTTCAGTTCAGTTTTCTGATTTATAGATTGAACTTTGGGGTAAATTAAGCATGCTTGTAGACCATCACTGGCCTACTTATACTGATGAGGCTCTGATTTCAGGAGTTAGCATAATCTGAGAAAACTGTGAAAGTTTAGCAGTATATGGTGTGTTGTTTGTTTTGGCTGTAAGTTGCCCAACAACCTACAAATGCAGAAGCTACCAGAATATCAGAAGAAATGCATATGAGAATATTCAGTGACTGATTCTAGTATAGATGTTGATATAGTAAGACTCAGGCAGGGACGCGGGTGGCACTGTGGATTAAACCACAGAGCCTAGGGCTTGCGGATCAGAAGGTCCGCGGTTCGAATCCCGTGACGGGGTGAGCTCCCATTGCTCGGTCCCTGCTCCTGCCCACCTAGCAGTTCAAAAGCATGTCAAAGTGCAAGTAGATAAATAGGTACTGCTCCAGCAGGAAGGTAAACGGCGTTTCCGTGTGCTGCTCTGGTTTGCCAGAAGTGGTTTAGTCATGCTGGCCACATGACCCGGAAGCTGTCTGCGGACAAACGCCAGCTCCCTTGGCCAGTAAAGCGAGATGAGTGCCGCAACCCCAGAGTCGGTCATGACTGGACCTAATGGTCAGGGGTCCCTTTACCTTTACCTAAGACTCAGGCTGGGTCTAGGCACATCAAAGAAGTGTTTCAGTTTAAAGTGTTGTAAATGTAAACAGGGAAAACAGGTAGAGAAAAATAGGACTCCACATCACCATCTAGTGGTACAATGTTATATCGCATATACAACGCATAAAAATCTTTACCAGTCTAGCTAAGACCTATCGTTTAAATCATAACCATATCTACTCAGAAGTAAGTCCTATTTAATCCAATGGAGTTTACTCCTGGTAAGTGGAGTTAG